AGTCTGCGCTACAATCTCACAGCGACGTTACTACGACCTTTCTACAACCATCACGTTCTCACCGCGACCCAACCACGCTTTCACTAATACGACTATACCACGTTTGTACCACGCTGTTCAAGACCATAGTACGAATCTAGCACGCACATGCCGTCGTCATCACGCCCTTTTTACGACCTGAATACTTTCGTACTACAAACATCATGCTCATTGTCGTTGTCACATGAAATATATAAAAGCTCTTCAGGTTTTGTTTGTCCGTATGTAATTTGGACCTCTTGTCCTTTTTCTCCAACGGATCAACCATGCTTGACACATCTGTATCATCCCTACTATCGTTCACTAAAACATCGTCATTTGATCTTGACGGACCAGCAATAAGTTGTGATTGAGGTTTGATTGGTCTGTCCGACATCTCTACTGGATCAGGATTCGTTACTATCAGAGCCCCCTCTCCCTCTACCTCTACCCCTATCACCACGCCAACGAGTTCTGGTCGATTTTGGTGGCATGACTGTGTTGTTTCCGAGAAATCTACGTATTAATTAGAAATAGAATGAATGGAACAGTATTTATATGGAACACGATGTTGACGTTATTGCTGAGAGCGTAGTAAGATCGCGGTATGAACGTAGTATAATCGTGGTAATAGCGTGCTATAATCGCAATAGAAGCGTGGTAAGATCGTGTTGCAATCAGATAAATCGTGGTATGGTCGTAGTGAGAACGTGATAATCGTAGTATGATGATGATAATCGTAGTGAGGTCGCAGAATAAGAGTTGTTAGAACGTGGTATAATCGTAACGGGATCGTTGTAGAAGCGTTATGAGGACGTAGTAACATCGTGGAAACAACGAAAGGTATCATTTTCATGCCGCTAATACTGCGATCTCACCACGATCTGAGATCGCGGTGAGCGTGGTGTGATCGTGGTCTAGTGTGACGGGAGCTTTTGTTGTTTTTGTCTTTATATCGATCTGATGAGTGTTTCCTTTTTCAACTTGGCTTAGTTTGTTATTATGTTGTTCTGTTACACCACTGTCCCAGGTTAGTGGAAAGGTTTGGCGCCAGCCAACATGTGCAACCAACGTTCTTTATGTGCATGTCCCAATGTCGTGGGTCTGTGACTGTCATTTTTGTTTTTCGTAAATAGTATATAATATGACGAAGGTTTCTTCTAAAGAGATGATTATCTGAAAATTGTTTGACATTTCACAGTGATATCGTTCTTTAACTTTGTTTAAACCTGTTTATTTACTTTTGACTTTAATTATTTATCCCTTGTAATTTTTTTATTAAGTGTGTATTTGCATTCAGGTGTTACAGGTCAAATTTATTCGTTCATTGTGTGTTACTTTACGTTTTTTGATTGAGTTAATCCTTCCAATTGATATTTTATAGTGTGTCTTTCTATGTTGTGATGTTATACTATTGTTTCAGAAAAGGGAGAAGATTTGGTACCATTAAAACGTTTAATCCCGCTGCAAATGTTTGCACCTGTCCTAAGTCAGGAATCTGATGTACAGTAGTTGTCGTCTGTTTATGTAGTTCATACACAGGCACTTGTCTCAGAAAAACAAAATCCTATATACCTTAATATAACACAAGGTACTTAACTCGCATTTTTGAAAAATGTTAGCCGGTCGCGAAATTCCGTTATATGCCGATTTCTTGGTTGTCAACCCCACTTAAACTTGTTATGTCGTAAATCTAAATTGATTTTTCTACACAATGGTGTATAACACGCCTACTTTTGTTGTCGGAATCATCTGTAGCAGGCCTACCGAAGTATGTCAATCGTCAGTATTTCGTCTACCGACGCCAGATTGGAAACACAAAATTCGCAGTAAATGATTAATTAAAAAAATTATTTAAAAAAAAGTTATTCAGTTTTTGTCTGAATAGAACTTATCATCCAGTAAAATTGTATAAGATACCGTGAAAAGATCTAACAAGTGTTATTTGTGGTATGTGTAATAAGTTACGAGTTTCTTTTTTTTTTGACATAAATTTTCCCATTACGTCAATGTCATTCAGACTCTCTCTGGACTTTACGTATGAAATGAAATAAGATCAGATAACTCCGAGAAACATTAAGACCTTCCCGTAAAATTTGACCAATCGGAAACCGAGATATATAAAGAGAGTGGGAAGATATCTTTTACTGCGAGACGTATATTTCCAATTTGGCGTCAGTAGACGAAATAATTACGATTGACATACTGGGGTAGGATTGATACGGATGATTCCGAAAACAAAAGTAGGCGTGTCATACACCATTGTGTAGAAAAATCAATTTAGATTTACGACATAACAAGTTTTAGTGGGGTTGACAACCAAGAAATCGGCATATAACGGAATTTCGCGACCGGCTGACATTTTTCAAAAATGCGAGTTAAGTACCTTGTGTTATATTAAGGTATATAGAATTTTTTGTGCCTGTGAGTTCATACGTGTTTCTCGTTTCTCGTTTTTATATAGATTAGACCGTTGGTTTTCCTGTTTGAATGGTATTACACTAGTAATTTTTGGGGCCCTTTATAGCTTGCTGTTCTGTGTGAGCCAATGCTCCCTGTTGAAGGCCGTACCTTGACCTATAATGGTTTACTTTTGTAAATTGTAACTTGGATGGAGAGTTGTCTCATTGGTACTCATACCACATCTTCCTATATCTATTGTTATAAATCAGGCCTTTATTTTTCTCAATTGAATTGTTTTACATTTTTCATTTCGGGGCTTTTTATATCCGACTATACGGTATGTGGTTTTTTTCTCTCATTTTTGGAAGCCTTACGGATGCCTATAATAACTATTCCTTACATCCACTTCATTTGAACTTCGATGGATAGTTGTCTCATTGGCAATCATATCCTTATTTTTGTATAGGTTTATATAGATTTTTCATATGACAAAGTGGTGACAAATGTAGGTTATTCCTATGAGTTTATGATCGGTACCAACAAATACGCGTCTTCACGATGTTTACAATCAACCGAGTTTATTTTTTATTTCTAAAGACACATGTAAGAATATTTATCAGATGTCAGGTATAAACTGTCTTCCTAGTTTTAAACTAATATTTGGTATTTGAGAACAAAAAAATTGCCGGAACTACAATGTACTTAATACTATACTTGAGCTGCAAAAGTTATTGTTGATAGCGTCTACTAGGTACTTATTTGAAAATCGAAAAATGTCAAATGAAGAAATAAACGTTAAGTCGTGTTTTGAGTTAAAGCTTATTTACAACTAAAAAAAAAACAACAAATAGTTGAAAAAAGTTGGTAGTAAAATCTTAAAGAACAGTTTTACAAAATGACGAATTAGAAAATACAAATGAAATAACTAAATAAATACATACATGTTATCATTATGAATAATAATATCAAAAATGAATGTATGAAAAATCCAAATGAAAACCAAAACAAAACAAGCCAACGACCAAAAGCAAGACGTTATACCAAACAACGGACGAAACAAACCAGCGGTACACAAATCGATTAACTAGCAGTATGGACAATACGACATCCCATTTAAACAAAATGTTTCTGATATATCATTTGCCTTTTGTTGAAGTCTCCGTACTGTATGTCTGTCTGCCCGTTACATTTTCTTGTGCTGTTAGTTATTTTTACTGATCCAGAATTTTATTTGACGTTTATTTATTTTCATTGCCTGTTTCCTGTTAACGTTATCTGTATCTATCTATCGATAAAGTTGAAGATTTTTTTCTCTGAATTTTAGTCTTCTCTCTCTTTTCTTTTCACTCATTAGTTCATTGAAATTTTTTTTTCAATGTTTTTATTTTTTTGTTTTTTTGAAATGTATGTTGATATTGTGAGCGGTTGTGGTTATGTTTAATGATTTGTTAATAGATATAAGAAGATGTGGTATGAGTGCCAATGAGACAACTCTCCATCCAAGTCAAAATTTATAAAACTAAACCATTATAAGCCTTGTAATGAAAGAATTTTTTCACGGAACCAAATTCGAACGAATGGCCCTTGACTGTGTTACGTATGTATGAATTGAAAATGACTTTGCTTTTGCCATACTGTATTTCATAATTTGTACATAAATCATGCCGTTAGTTTTTTTCGCTTTTTTATGTCGAGGGCTTTTATAGCTTGGTATGCGGTATGGGTTTTGTTCATTGTTGAAGAAAATACGGTGATCTATAGCAGTCAGGATTCTACTTAGTCAAAATTATCTCCCCATTACGCCATCTAATTTTTATGATCGTAAAAATGGAAGCCATTGTGGTGATGACGCGCTGTCAGTTTAGCTCTTGAAAACCGACCAATTTATCCACATATCATCATTACGATCCTACTAAACCACCTGTATTTTAAAAGACAAATGTATCAACTAGATATTGAGCATCATTTAATGTACCTTTATGCATTTGGTCAACTTAACCTATTGTCTGATCGGTTGTCAGGGAGAATTTTCACAAGTTCAAAAATATTTTAAAAAAAATCTTATTAAATTTCGTGGAAGGGCAGACAAAAAATTTTCAGAGGTTTAAGATGAATTTATGCGTATGCACAAAAAAGATCCACATGTATTTGCACCTACCACAATCGACTGTTTTGTGAAAATGTGTCTATGATGTACAAGTTTACAAATATCTCGAAGCTCCATACCATAATTTAAGTAAAGACACACATGTAAGATGCATAAAGTTCTAAATTATGCACATTCATTAAACTTTTAAAGCCCATAGTAACAGATGTAAACAATTCAAATTCACCAAATTGGCCTTTTTTTTTACCTTCGCTAATAAAGAGTTCCATTTCTTTTGTTGAATTTTAACTGGGTTTCCGCCTGTATAGTTGCTAACATTTACGCCATTTGGTCTTTGGTGGAGATATGTCTCATTGGCAATATACGACATACTTTTATTTTTGTATTGTAACAATTGATACGTGAACAATAAAAAAAAATTTTAATCCTTGACAACTCATTCTAAAGTTCAGTAAAAATACTCAAAAATACAAACATTTGCAATGATTTATTTGAATTATAATTATCAGCAAAGAAAAATGTAGTAACGGGAATTCTTGGTGGGTCCGGTCCTGGTCTGCATCAGATTTATTTATCTGAAATGAAATCAAAAGTGTGTAATTTAGAAAACAATGTCTGATCCAATAAATAGGTACAGGTAGTACAGTTCTATTAACAAACAACAACAAAAATGTCCGATTCAACAGCCGTACGGTTATAAAAAAAACCAAACAAATTGCGCAAGTTATAAACTAATAAAGCGATAATACTCAAAGTGTCTGTGTATATACATGTACATGTCATGAATGTATTATGTCATTGGCCAGTCTTGGGTATGTATCTGTTTCGTTTTAAAGAAGTAGCAGTCAGTTTTAAAGCTTCAACTTACAATGTCACGGAAAATAATAAAAATGGTTAAAACCACGTTCGGATGAATTCGAATAGCTATGTAAAACTGTATATAGGGATACTGAATTTTGTCTCTACTTGATATAGTCCTTTATTTGGTACGGTGTCGTTAATAAGAAAACACTTACTCTTTTAAATCATATTGTAAATTTATGGGGTAGAATTTCAATATTTGCTAAAATACAAACCTTAAGTAATGCGTTTCTTTTTTATACAAACAATTGTAGCAAGAGTAAATGAATTATCGCTATCTTAAAAAGCATCCTTCGACTTTAATAAGAAGGGTGTGTTACGATCATTTAAAGTAATAGTAATAATTCTAAATCAAAGTACTGAAGTACTGAACATCGGATGACCACAAGTTCTTGAGGATGGTCAAAAGCACTTGTCTCAGAAAAAAACAACATATCTCTTTACCTGAAACTGAGGTTAATGTACAGAGATATATTTTTTTCTGAGACAAGTTCGTGCGTGGATGATGAATAAATGACAGGAAATTCAACTTCGCCGTAATAACTATTATATTGCAGTGATACAAATCAGTATACATGGTGGACACTTTTCTGTAAAAATTCGATTTTTCTAAGATTGGATACGAGTAGGCATTCATATTTTCCCGCAAAAACAATTACAGAGTTACCGGTCCTCGCAAAAAGTTCTCTGAGATATTCTTCCGCATGCTTTAACACAATTTTTCGGTACGTCTGCATTGATATTATCATTGATTTTGTACTTATATATATATATATCTAACTACTAAACATTTTCATATTATTAATTTATGTTGTAAACAAAAATATTTTTATCAGTATTCATTGAAGAGATGTATTTATATCAAACGATAAGGAATGTTATTTTGCATTCGTTTATGTGCGCATATTTATCATGTTTATAGATCGGTTACAAACCCAAAACTAATTTACATAATGGAAATCTAGGCGATAACAATACATCTGAATGACCCCAAGGTCATCGCGATGTAAAAAGTAACTAAATTACCTACCGACACTCTTTAGCCGCATTCAACTCTTTAGCATCGAGAACTCCATCTCCTATTTTTTGAAGAAAAAAAAAATATCTTAAATTACATACATTATATTCAAAAATTGCATTCTGTGAAACATACTAAATTGATAGTGATAGGGAAATTAATTTCTGAAAATATTTTTATTTACTTTAAATTTGTAAAACACACTACAACTCCATGATGGAAGCTTGATAATCAGCGATAGATAATTCCCTTACAAAACGATAAAAGATGTCTAACTATGAATCAAAACGAATGTCTTCCAAAAACAAAAAGCAAAACAACCCAACCGAACGCGAAAGTATATAAGACACACTTGTTCCAAAAGTCTTTCAATTTCGAAGCTTGCTTAGTCTTAAAAATATGTGTTTATTTACAATATATTTATTAGTTAATTTTGTTCTTTTGTATTACATTGTTTTTCATTACGATTTGACGCCTTCGTAAGAACAGTCGTTGAATCAACCGGAAGTTAAGCACACAATTCAAAACCATCAGTAAAACATTCGTACACTAGAAACTATGCTACAACTTACCGTTTTTATCGATAACAACAAACAACTCTCTTACACCAGTATTATCTACGTGTTGCTTGAGTGCCTCCGCAAACTCTTCGATACTTATCATATCGTTGTTGTCAATGTCGTAATTCATAAGATTACATGGAACATCAAAAGAGTATTCTGTTCCCTTAGTCTGAAAGTTTAAAAAAGTATTCAAAAAAAAGTTTCAACGTCATAAATTACTATTGGTAGGATTCACGTGTACAGCTTTCACCGTTGATATTCAATCTAACCAAACTAATATTTAAAAAATAGCATTACAAGTTAAATTTGGTTGTTGTAACTTAATTAGAAACATGCCTAGATTGTCTGAGATTTAACGATTAACAAAAAAAGACAATATTATAAATAAGGTGAGTCTGTTTGATTGTGTGGGATGTAACTACATGCAATCACGTCCACTCGGAATGGAATATCAATTCTAAATCCTCATTATTTGTGCTCCGCCTGAATATATGCATGACATATTTGCCACTAGACGTCTAAAGCAATCAATCAATCAATAGATCAATTGAAATTGTCTGTAATGCACTTTCATCGACGGAGGCAGTCTCGCTTTATACATTCCGAGATGCTACGAAAACATTCATAAAAGATTAATTGTATGCAGCTGATTAATTGAATTAAATTTAGTAAAACGTTATTTAAAGGTCTTTGTTTAGAGGGTGAAATATAAATACTAGTACCTCAATAGAACGTCGCTTTTTGTCTTTGCTAACCCGAACCCTCAGTCTTACACGAACTCGCCAGCCGGCTGTGCAAATATTGAAAAGCAACAAGAGTCCGATAAATCCTATTACGAATTTGGTCTTGTTCATACTGCTTACTTTCTACTGAAATAAGACAAAAATTGAGTTGGGATACACAGCTAATTGAGAGAATAATTCAATATTTTATCTATATGTAAAATAATATAAATAATATAACAAATAACATAAAACCATTTTATGAACTTATGATTTATTCTATATTACAAAATATAGCTTGTTTTTAGTTATTCGATTACAATACAAGTAAAATTATATGTTTACTTACCAAATATGCTAAATAAATATTTCAACAATGTCTAGGCAAGTTGAAACGGAATGAGGACTGTTATCAAATATATTGACATATTTACATCAGGAATACACAGAATGTTACAAATAATTGCGTGTTGAGAAATTTGAACCATACAATCTTTGAAATTAAATACATGAACCAAAAATTCCGTGTCATTCAACTTTGTTTTGTTTTGTTTTTATTTTTAGTTTGTTGTACTCTCGTACTTTTGTATCCCTTTTGCAAAACTCATTTTTTAGTTTTACAGTGAAGCTAGTGTATCAAACTTGTATTCTGTCACTTCAAATTTGTTAAAATCGAAAGCATTTCATCACAGAATTGTGCAGAATGCAAACCAGGTAATAAAAAAATGGCGGCCATTGCCGCGATGATAATTACAAATTCCCAAACTATTATAAAACACTTCACATCAAATAAATCAAACTTATTTTGGTAATTTTATATGACAAAATATATCTACTAAATGATAAAACTTGTATTTATTTACAATTAGAGTTATGTGGTTTATTTGTTGGGCAGTTTTGATAGTATTTCAGTCAGACGCTACCAAAATCCGTAAATCTCGGGAAGTCTCGGGGAGTCCGAGATTTTATCAATTTTATACTGAAAAGCGTATCAGATTCATTTCCCGTTAGATATACTGTTCCCAGCTTAAATGCATTGCAAGTATTAGCCTTGTGTATAACAATTCGAAATAATTTAACGTAAAATATTACAAAAGGAAATGGAAGTTTACAATTTTATCATTGTTGCTCAGTCAATAGTATTCTGTGTTGTGTTATGTATACTGTTGTTATGTCTTTTTTCGTTTTTTTGGTTGCCATGGTGTTGTCATTTTATGTTCGACTACAGTGTCTAAATGTCCTTTTGGTATCTTTCGCCTCTTTTCTCTCATTTAGTATTATCTCACAACAACAGAGGATCAATAAAGTAGTGACTTTATTGGAATTATTAACAACTAAAAAATTTAATAAAGAATGCTTTTTCTTATACTTACGAAATATATCAATAGGCCTAGCTATTGTTGCGTAATATCTTTTTCATACATGTTATTATCGAGTTGATTTGCTTCCTCAATCAATCAATTATATTTAGATACTGTAGATGAACTCGAATATACTCACATGATGTTCATTAACCTCTAAGCACGACCTCCCTTTATCTTAGTCGAGGTACGAGGGTCATCAATTTTGTTTGCTATGTAGAAGTGAACCAACTTGAAACCTTATGGAAAACAAACAACAAATTTCTTGACTTCGTTATATAAATATCACATTCTAAAGTAGTCTCAATTCAAATTTTCACCAGCTCGATCTTTAAAGCTCATTTCAGTGAAAGATCAAAGTACTGAAGTACTGAACATCGGATGACCGCAAGTTATTGTGGATGTCACAAGCACTTGTCTCAGAAAAAAAATCACATCTTTATACCTGAAAGTGAGGTTAATGTATAGATGTATTTTTTTTCTGAGACAAGTTCTTGTGTGGAAGATAAATAAATGAAAGGGAATTCAACATCACCGTAATAACTATTATATATATATATATATGTATTGTAGTGATACAAATCAATATACTCTGGTTTATATTAATATTAATATTTGTATATTATAGTTACATTTATATATAATTTTCATCCATTTGTATATCATTCTATTCTACTAATTATTAATAGTGCAGTGCAAGTGCATGGTGGACACTCTTCTATAATAATTCGATTTTTCTTATAGATTGGATTTGAGTAGGCATTCATATTTTCCCGCAAAACGAGAGAGCAAGGACCAATAACCCTGCATGTATCTGTATATAATCTTCACCTCCTTTATAGGAGATTGCAATCGTTCTTGAGATATTCTTCCGAATGCGTTAACACAATTTTTCTGTACGTCTGCATAGATATTAATAATTTTTACTTACATACATACAAAAAAAAATTTAATATTATCAAATTATGTTCTAAAAAAAAATATTTGATGAGTATTCATTGAAGAAATGAATATATAGCTAGCGATAAGGAATGTTATTTTGCACTCGATGATGTCGGCGTATTTATCATGTTTATAGATCGGTTAAAAACCCAAAACTAATTTACATAATGGAAATTTAGGCGATAGCAATACACCGGAGTTACCTCACGGTCATCCGCTGTAAAAAAGTACTTTTATCAATATGCATCCTGTACACATATTTTTTTACATTTTTACCTATTATGTCTGTTTGTTTTGTTCACACATCGTTGTCAATATAATGGAATTTGATAAGACTGTCATACAAGTGAGAGGTTTAGCTAGCTATAAAACCAGGTGTAATCCACTATTTTCTACATACGGAAATGCATGCACCAAGTCAGACATATGACAGTTTTTTTTCCATTCGTTTAATGTGTTTGAGCTTTTGATTTTGCCATTTGATAAGAGACTTTCCGTTTTGATTTTTCCTTGGAGTTCGGTACTTTTGTTATTTTACTTTCTACTGAGTCGCTGTTTCAATAATTGCTAATGTTTCTCAGCATTCAACTTTTTCCAGTTCACTTTTTCACAGCCGTCATTGATTTAACGGACTTTGTTTTATAGAAAACGAGCATGCCATATATGCTTGAACTTATCTATGAAACGATTTATTCAGTTAGTTATTTATTAAAAGCTTGATATACAAAATCTGTCTATTTGAGTTGAATATACAAATATAAACAAACTGAGAAGATTGACTTCCATTGTGCTGGTAATAAGTATGATTTTCCGGGTAGTCTTTGGCAGGGGCAGGTGTGTATCATCAGGAAAGGTTTTAAAGACTTTATCTTGACGATAAGACTTAGTCTTCATATCACCTAACGGTATTATTGCTGAAATGTCAAACTTTGCCATAATATCAACTAAGTCATCGAGATACTTTCAAATATATCAATCAGTAATTTTGACATTGCAAACATACACAATACAACATTAAATCTAAAATATTAGTACAGATAAGCACTGTTCTCACTCTAAGACTTCCTTCAATCAATACAGTAACCTGCTTTGTAATTCGATCTATCCTACAAAATGCTCCTGAATAATAGATATGCTGTTTTAATAGAAGTATTCGATGTTCATTTTTTGCAAAAACTAGTTCTCGTTTGCGTTCCTTGAACTTGCGCAGGATGAGTTGACATTTGGCCTCTCCATAGACACATAAAACAAATTATACTGGATTAGAATGAACTGTAGGTGCAGAATTCGGTCGTACGACTGATGCGCCCCGGACAGGTAAGAGGTGCTGTGGTTTGTCAAATTGAAACACCGGGCCAGATGGGGTTAAATTTTGTGTATATTTTGTTGAGATAAAATTACATTGTTGTTTGAAGATTATGGAATTAATTGATGAGCTTGTTGTTTGTCCTTTCAATTTCATGATTCATGTTTACTGTCTCTATTTCTAGCGAGTAGATCCCTGAAATAAAGTCATTCACTCTATCGGACTGAAAGCCATTTAACTATCATGTTTGAATAATGTTATTCTACATAGTCGAATTTGATGAATGTTGGATTCATATATAAGATGGTTCGATCGAAAAGCTGACATTGTGCTAGAATTTTAATGATTTGAGCCACTAGACTGTCTGCACATTTGTTCTGCTCAATAAGTAAACGAGATTTTAGTATAAAGAAGAAGATGTGGTATGATTGTCAATAGGACAACTCTCCACAAGAGACTAAATGACACAGAAATTAACAACTATAGGTCACCGTACGACCTTCAGCAATTAGCAAAGCCCATACCACATAGTCAGCTATAAAAGGCCCCGAAATATCAAATGTAAAACAATTCAAACGAGAAAACTAACGCCCTAATTTATGTACAAAATAATGAACGAAAAGCAAATATGTAACACAGCAACAAACGACAACCACTGAATTACATGCTCCTGACTTGGGACAGGCACATACAGAATGTGGCAGGGTTAAACAGTAGTCTATTTCAGTGTTCTTAATCAGTAAAAAGTAAAATAACAAAAATACCGAGCTTTAAAGAAAATTTAAAACGGAAAGTCCCTTATCAAATGGCAAAGTCAAAAGCCCAAACACAGCAAACGTATTGAAAACAACTGTCATATTCCTGACTTGGTACACACATTTACTTATGTAGAAAATAGTGGATTAAACCTGGTTTTATAGCTAGTAAAACCTCTCACTTGTATGACAGTCGCATAAAATTCCATTATATTGACAACAATGTGTGAACAAAACAAACAGACATAATAGGTAAAAATGTCAAAAATGGGGGTAAATACCTTTCCCGGCATTTAAAATTTTCGTGCAAGATAAGTAAAATGCTTGCTATTTCGACACTGATTCTTTGTCATATTCACTCTTTTCCAGTTTTTTCAACTTTTTGTTTACCCATTTCCTTCTTTTTAAATTGTTGTTCCACGTCCGTATAGTCATAATTTGAAACTTCTGGTGTGCTAATCAAAGGGGTTTAGTATGAGGTCTAACCAAGGTTTCTTCAGTGTCCCGATGGATAAAGTCACACATTTGATTTTGTCATTTTTATGAACTTCCCCTTTTTGAATTTACCTTGGAGTTCTGTATTTTTGTTATACTATTTTATTAATGTAAGTACCGTCACCATCATTTGCTAGTTCGAAGAGTGTCCAAGATTGTAAGACATATTTTGTCTTCTGAAAACGTATAATGAAAGTTCGTGTTTGTGGTAGATCTAAATTATTTTTTCAAGTGCTGTCGTCTTGATTGTAAGCTACTTATTGAAGATATAGTGAGGCCCTCGCATAAAGTCAACTTAACAGTCTTCTAATACATATATTAGTCAGTATTCACCTCAAAAGCTAACAAAACCTTTAAACAGACTTATTAAGAAGGGATATAGTTACGATACTGTTGTCAGGTCATTAAAGATTGCATATTTTGGCTTTAATATTAATTCACTTATAGGGTCTTTGCATCGGAATTAAACACATTTATTCTAAAACCAGTTGTTGGCATGACACGGGTTATGTTCTTCTCATATATTTTATGACGGTATAATACTAAACCCCTAACAGGAGGGATTGTGCCTAATATTCATATGATGAAGACATAATCT